AGTTCACTTCCTGTGGAGTTGGGCCAGAGCAGACCCCACACAGGTCAGCCCTGCCCTGGGCTCTTCCTTCTCCCACGAGCCCTGGCGTTGGCCTCAGCCACCCTCAGCCCTGCCCCTTTCAGGTGAGGAGCTCATGTGGGCCCCTGGAACACACGGGCTGCAAGGTCCCATCTCCCCTGGGTCAGACCCCTGCACTGTCTAACGATCACAACAGCCGGGCCCTCCCCCCTTCTATTCTCCAATGGTGCAGGCACGAGATGACTCTGGTTCTAGTTCCGAGTCCCCATTGCTTCCCTAGCAAACGTGGTTTAAAAATGCATTCTGAGGCAATGTCAAATGACGAGAGCTGAGAACACAGGGTGCATGTCTATCACTAATTTGGCCCATTTGGAAACCAAATAAAATGGCAGGCAATTTAGGGCCACCACCCAGGCTGTCCCAGATACAGACCTCTCCCCATGAAAGTGTTCTGCATCAACTCCAGTGGTCCTCACGGAGGCTGGCTGCACCCCAGGGGGTGTCAGCAAATGCGTGGAGGTGTTTCTTGGTTTTCACAGTATTGGCAGGCAGGGGACGCTAGGACATTAGATGCTGGGGTCCAAGGACGAGAAGCATCCTGCAAGGACAGGATGTCCCACGCACCCCAAATGCCCACAGCACCCTGGTGACAGACATGGAAAATATCAAGAAGAAAATGACACTGGAAGGAAGATGGTACCAAGATGCTCCGGGTATGAATGACACTCTTCCTTTCCCCTCCCCATTGTATTCTGGTTGTGAACAATCTCTTCCTCCAGGTGACCCGACTTCTAATTGCAAATAAATCCATTTCTGGACTTTCTCCTCAGGTGCTGTCTGCTCCCTGCAGCCCCTGCCACAGTCCTCCCTGTTGTGCGACTCCAAGGGTACCACTGTGACAGCTCAGTCATTTCCAATAACCAAGTATCCCAGTATCGGTGGACCAGGGGCCAAGCAGTTATTCAGGTGGGGATGGATTTTCACAGTGAAAAGGTTACACGGTGCCTGGCAGACAGCACCTCCCTTTTTGGCTAATCAGGAAGCTGCAGTCTAGAGTCCTTGAGGGATGAGGAAGATGAACAAACATGAGGGACTCCTTCAACACTGAGCCTAGATGATTCTGCTGAAGGGAAGAGGGACCTGGGCTCTGCTCGGGAAGGCAATCCGTGTGCACCACGAAGCAGGGTGGCTCAGCACAGGGACAGCAGCATGTGCAGAGAGGCTGCCATCCAGTCTGGCCAGGAATCCTCAGTGGAGCCACCCTGTGCCCCTCAAAGCGCGTAAGCAGACATTTCTACGCCAGGTGGGGACCTCAGCCCTGCACTTATCAGCATGTTGCCACGCTCTTTGAGCCTGGGCCTCCTGCAGGAACATTCCCCTCCGCAAACCTTGGGGATCTTGTAAAATTACAACGCCTGACACAGGAACTGAGGATTCAATGGCGGCTGTTATTGCAAAGGACTCTCCAGGGTCCCTGCCACAGTGGCCATCACTGGCACCCTCACAGCAGCTCCAAGAGTGCTCTGCAAGGTTCCAACGACAGCAAACAGGTGGGGATTACTGTGTGCAGGCACTGTGCTGAGGACATTATTTACATGGATCCATCCAACCCTTATCACCTTCCCAGAAGGTAGCACCAGATTCACCCTGTTTGACAAATGGGGACACTGAGGCACAGGGCTGTTGAGCAGCATAGTTCTCCCAGCAAAACCGTGGCAGAGCCGAGGCTGGAGCCTGGGTTGCCTCACTCCTGAGTCCGCGCTCTCGGCCACTGCCCTGTGTTTTGCCTCGGAAAGCGCAGATGAGGGGGAAGCTTTTCAGTGGATTCCGGGTGCTCAGGGGGAGGGTGTCCGTTAATCAGAGGCACTAAAATGACTATTCGTTGCCTTGAGCTCTCTTTTCGAGAAAAATCACAGGATAATGGCAAAATACTAAATGTTGTCATATTCCCCCTCTCCCAACCTCTTTTAAAAATCTAGGCACCCAAAACAAAGGTGCCAATGGATGGAAGACAATAAAGGAGAGCCCAGCGTGGGACACAGCAAGAGCTCCGTGAAATGCACAGTTCTGAATGGGAGTCAGCTCTGACGTACGGGGGCACGGAGCAAGCTGCTCCGTGTTTGTGACTATGACAGTGATCGCGGCACACGGCAGCAAAGGGGGAAACAGGAAGAGAGAGAGAAACCCTCCACCCAGCAATCCAGCCAACCTCAGCTTGCGGGCCACTGCTCTCCCTTAAGTCTTTTCTCTGACCGTTTCTTCGTTCTTTCCAGACGTGTCATTATAATGCACATCCGGGTGTGCATCCAGCGCGGCAATCTACTTTCTAATAGAAGGGGCTGTTCCTAAGGCAAGGTGGGCGAGCCGCAGCACGGCCCCACAAAAGGCCCCGTCCCTCTGCAGGGGAAGGGTGTCTCCTGAGGGGCGCGTTGTTGGACTGCAGCACCCATGCACCCCGCTCTGATGGGAGTTTCCCAGGTGGTAGACCGTACTCCCAGCCAAGACAGAACGTGGCAACTGGATTTTCCACCGAGCTCTAGTGGTGGCAGGCACTGGCACTGTGGCAGCCGAGCAGGGAGGGGGGGCAAATACCTGGCAGGGACACGAGCCAGGCACCAGGTGCACAGCTGGGGTTCCAGTCTTTCTGTGTGGAATGGTGGAAAGCCGAGAACACCAGACCAAGCAGGCTAATATACCTGGTAAAGCTGTCAAGACTGTTTCTTTAGAAGCCCTTCACCATTGCTCAGTAAAGCGTTCTTTTTACAAGTGGACTGTAAGGGGAAACCTAATGAGTAACAGGAAAAAAAATCTGTGCCTATTGAGTCTGTGCAAAGACCAGATTTCCTTTGACTTTTCACTGTTGATGGATGCTACAGCAGTAACTGATTTACTCTAGCCCTTGTATCTGGACACTTTGTCTATAAATATAAGATTCTACACCCAAATGCAGGGCTTCTGCTGTACAATGCAGCCAAAACCAGAGGTTGCAAACCACGGGCCTGGGCTTTGGCTGTGTTTCATTTGGCTGGTATTGTAATTCAGATAAAGAAAGTTTAACAATTAGGAAATGTTATGTAAAAGTTCATTATTGATTGGTACCCTGACTATTAGGCTCTCTCCCTACGCCCGCCTTGCTTTTTCTTGTAAACAAAACGATCTCCCTTGTTATTCTAGTCCAAATTCTCACTCGCTGTGACAGTGAGACAGTCCATAGCGGTACAGGGAGGGAAACACAAAGCCTGCACATTAATTCACATATTTTCTGTAGGAACAGATGAGTCAGGCTAGGAACATTTTTCCAGACTTGGATCTTTCTGGACTTTCCAGAACAAAGGGGAGACCAAATCCCTGCAGCGGTCTGGGTGACCCCAGCCTTCCCTGATCGTGTGCCCAGTGCCTTTGTGGCCAGGTCTCAGAATCCAAAGCACAAGGGTGTGAACGTGAACAATCCACGACATTATCCCCCACCAGGTCAACTCCAAAGAGTTTTAAATATGCATGTGCACTTGAAATTGTTGAGTCTCTCCAAATCTATGCTCTGTAGAAGGAAAGAAATTATTCCAATTGATGTCCCCTCTACCCATGGCAAGCCAGGAGACAACCACGCACATGTAAACTTGCGATGCTGTGAAGGTGCAGGCATTACCACTCTCCCAAGGCCCTCCTCCACCCATCCACATGGCAGGGATCCACAGCAGGGTTTGGACAATACCTTTTCAACAGTACTTAAGCCAACTGAATTATCTTTTCATTTCTAGAAAGTTTGTTTTTCAAAAATTATAATTTATTGTAAAAAATTTGGAAAAATACAGTAATGTTTAAAGAAGAAAATGTTAATGACTCACAACAGCCAAATCAAAAAACACCACTGGGAACATTTTCCTTCTCTGCATTTTGAACACAGTAGGGATTATAATGCACACACAATTTAGCTTATGCTTTGAAGCCCAGGGGACACCCTAGGCATTAAATTCCTGTCGCTAAAACCTATTCAAAAATACTTTGAAAGCCAAAAACCACTCTATTCTATAGCTGTAGGATAACGTGCTAGACATTATAGTTGGTCACCTGATGTTTCCAATTTTTATTACTTTATTATAAATAACACTGCACCTTTGCATATAAAACATAGAGTCCCCAAATTAAAGGAAATGGCTCACGTGAAGTCCCTTAATACACGTTGCTATGATGTGGCTGGAAAGGGTACACCTGCTTTCACTTATTTTTATGTTTATTTATTTATTCATTTTTTGAGACAGAGTCTCGCTTTGTTGCCCAGGCTAGAGTAAGTGCGCATGGTGTCAGCCTAGCTCACAGCAGCAACCTCAATTCCTGGCTCAAGCGATCCTCCTGCCTCAGCCTCCCAAGTAGCTGGGACTACAGGCATATGCCACCATGCCTGGCTAATTTTTTCTATATATATTAGTTGGCCGATCAATTTCTTTCTATTTATAGTAGAGACAAGGTCTCGCTCTTGCTCAGGCTGGTTTCGACCTCCTGAGCTCAAACGATCTGCCCGCCTCGGCCTCCCAGAGAGCTAGGATTACAGGCGTGAGCCACCACGCCCGGCCATTTTTATGTTTATTTAAACCTTAGAGCAACGATGATTGCAAACAGGAGCTTAACTGACATCTTGGACTTCAAAACATAAGGAAAGAGGCAGAATCAGCGTCCTTGTTTCCTCTCTAGTTCATGGGAGGCAGATAGTGCAGAGAGGGTGGGAGGGGAGGAACCAGGCACAGCAACCGTAAAGAGGTCAAATGATTTCCAAGTCCAAATAGAGAAGAAGAAACCGGATAGCGAGCTTATGCATTTATGCCACGTGATATGCAAACCACAGGACAGGGACAGATGCCTCTTCGTAGAATCTGGGTGCCCAAAGCCTTGTTTTGTTCGCTCTCATAGTTTACAAGGGAAAAGACTGAGCATTTTTCACATAAATAAAAGTAGAGAATTTCAGACTCATAAACTGCATTTCTCACCTTCCGGAGTCTTGCAAGGAGACCTGCTACATGCTCATGCTGTTCTGATTTAGCAAGATCTTCTGGGGTCTTTCCGTCCTGTTAGAGAAAAACTGTTAGTTTCTTTTCTCTGAAAGAGAGGGCTGTGTGTGTTCCATACACCAGTTCCACCCATCCGGGGCAGAAATAAGCCTATCCTCGGATGCCTATCAGAAGCAAGTCAGATGGACCAAGAGTGTGTCTGGATTAGCTCCTTATCTGTGGAATGCTTATTTCTCTTGACTGTCCAGGAGGAAGAGAAGAAGTAGGAACATAACATACACTGGTGTCTTGCAGTCCAACAGGGATGCTAACTCTCACCCCAGTTGGGCAGAGAATAAAGATTGTCATTAGATGGCAAATTCTAGTCAGTGCAAGCTGATGTCGTACAATCAATATATGGGCAAACCTAGCCCTCATATGATGCCAACCCTGGTAATTACTGTGCATTTCAAAAAAGACTTAGTTTGACAATTTTAAAAATTTTTTAAAGTTCTTAATTATTAAGTATACATTATAGTTGTATGTATTTATAGGATACATACGATGTTTGGATAGAGGCATACAATGTATATTAATCAAATCAGGGTGACTGGGGATCCATCACCTCAAGCATTTATCATTTCTTCATGTTAGAAACATTCCAATTCCACTCTTAGTTATTTTAACTAAAGTATGTCCTAACTTATTGTTGACCATGGTCACTTTGTTATCTTATTGACAGGCAACTTCGACATATTTTTGGTAAACTTAAGACAAGGAAAAAGAGCTCATAGCACTTTGGTGCTTGCATTTTATTAAGAGACTTTCCTAGGGCTCCAGTTTCATACCGAAGGGATTCATTTCTGTTTCGACACCATGAATTTGCACGACGATGGCGGGCATTTACCCTGAACACCTCTCAACACCAGGCAGACCCAGTTCTCGGTGCTTGGCATGTAGTAACCCTGAAGTCACCCCTGGGAGGCAGGAGCTACCGCTGTGCCCATGCCACCAAGGAGAAAGAGAGGCTTAGGGGCTGTTCTGTTGCTGTTTTGGACAAAAACTTCAAAAGTAGAAAAGATGAGAAGCAATTTTCAAATAAATGAAGAGGACTTTTTAAAAAAACAAAAAAAAAAATGAGAAGGATTTGTCCTATCTAATATGTTTGTAAATAACAAACAGAGTTGAATCCCCATGGAAGCTTAGGGATGTCCAAAATCCGTTTAACCGAAAACCCCCCAATTCCTCAACTTAATTCTCTGAGCCATGACTGGGGTCCCATTAAACCAGCCTTTCTCCATCTCGGGACTACTGACATTTTGATCCGGGTAATTCTCTGTTGTGGCATCTCTTCTGTGCCTTCTGGGATGTTCAGTAGCATTTCTGGCTTTTATCCACTAGGTGCCAGTAGCATCCCTCAACTCACACTGCAACAGCCAAAAAAATCATCTCCAGATATTGCCAAATGTCCCCAGAGGGGCAAAACGGCCCAGCTGAGAACCACTGGTATAGACTGACGGCCGAGGACCATCTGGGAGCTCCGGAGGAGCCCTGTTTTATGTTCAGGACTGCCCGTCACTCTGCTCCTGTGAGTCCTGAAACGTCTCCACAGGGCAGGGAAGGGCTTCTAGCTTGCTCTGGGGCGAATTAGGTGCCTTATCAGACACTGCATTTCCAACCCGAGGTGCATGACCAATCCTCTAGTTCCTTCACTGACATGAAAGAAGGCCTTGGTTACGTGGTTTCCAAACTTCACTGCACGTTGGAACACCTGGGGATCTTGGAAAAATCCCGCTCACTGGTTCTCACCTGGACACTGCTGTCATCAGCATGGCATGCAACCTGTGCCCCCCAGGTGATTCCACTGAGCAGCAAAGTCTGGGAACCACTGCCCTAGTGAGAAGAAATCTGAGCCTGGACTTAAGTTTCCTGCCCGCTGCGGTTTCCTCTTGCAGACCCCCATCCGTAGGCAGCACAGGTGGGCCGTCACTGCCGCGGTTACTCTGCACCACTCGGCCCCTCGACAGACAAGAGAACCTCCAGCAACAATAATTCCTCACCGTTGCCCCGTACTTCACAGTTGGTGAACCGTGTACCTCTAAAGGACACTGTTCGAGCTTCCAAAAGAAATGTCTGCCAGTGTAGTGGACATGGCTTGAGAACTTTGGAGAAGAGGACCCAGGCTGAGGTCCTGAGCCTGCCCCTCCCGGCTGTGTAAGCCACTCGGCCTTCCCGCGCCGGGGCTTCTTCACCTGCCCGCACAGGTTCTTGAGCGGATGAGAGAAAACCAAACGGAAAGAACCAGCCCAGTGCCGGGCACAGAGGAGCACACGGTGGTAAGTCTTAATAAAACAGCTGAGAATTTCCCCCAAACTATCTGGTCTTCTGTCCGGGAGGGAAAGGGGCAGAAGCTGGGTCTGCTGCTTTCTGGTCTTGGCTCCACTGGGTGCCGAGCGAGGTGCTAAGGGCCACATCTGGCACACAAGTGACTTTATCACCTGCCGCCCTCCTGCTTACACACAGGGCTCTCAGGGACCCAACAAGTGCATGCGTTGAAAGACAGAGAAAGAAGGCGGAGTGTCTCAGCACCCAGCTGTCCATCATCTCAACGTGGGGCCTGTGAGCCTTGGGGACCGAGTGACTGGAAAAGGATGATCTGGGCCCAGGAATCTGTGTGTCTTTTGTGCACTAGCAGCACCTCCCACTGCATGTCTAGCCCTGGGCAGCAAGTCCCAAGTTGGCAGCAGGACATGGGGAGAAACCCATGGAAAGGGCCAAAGGCCACTTCACTCACTGTATTCAGGAAGCTAATCTCCCAGTGAAAAGATGATCTGAAAGAAATATGCACAATAACTTCCCCAGTTTTCAGACAGTGTGGGTGCAAATGATAGATATTTTTAAACCACAGAATTGTAAGGATCCATCCATTTAGCTAAGTCCACCCAGTCAACAAACGTTCCATGTCCTGGGCACTTTGGTGTCATTCCTTCCTTCCTCCCTCTTTTTATCCAGTAGATATTTATTGAGCTCCCATTATGCACAAGTCTGGGGAAATAGCAGTGAATAAAACCAACAAAAGTCCCTATTCTCATGGGATATAAAATCTAGTGGATATCATCAGCAAAGAGTGAGAGTTTGACCTCTTCTGCCCCCATTCGGCCATCCTGTCTGACTGGTATAGCAAGAACTTCCAGCATTATGTTGAATAGAAGTGGAGATAGTGGAAAAACTTGTCTGGTTCCAGTTCTAAGTAGGAATGCTTTCAATTTTTCCCCATTCAATATGATATTGGCTGTCGGTTTATCATATATGGCCTTAATAATTTCAAGGGATGTCCCATCTATGCCTACTTTGTTGAGGGTTTTTATCATAAAAGTGTGCGGGATTTTATCAAGTGCTTTTTCTGCATCTATTGAGAGAATCATATGATCTTTGTTCTTGTTTTTATTTATGTGGTGAATTACATTTATAGATTTGTGTATGTTGAACCAGCCTTGCATCCCTGGGATAAAGCCCACCTGGTTGTGGTGAATTATTTTTTGTTGTGCTGTTGGATTCAGTTTGCTAAAATTTTGTTGAAAATTATTGCATCTATATTCATGAGGGATATTGGTCTATAGTTTTCTTTTATGGCTACATGCTTTCCTGGTTTGGGAATCAAGGTGATTTTGGCTTTATAGAATGAGGTGGGGAGCATATCATCCTTCTCAATGTTTTGGAATAATTTCTGCAGTATAGGTATGGGTTCTTCTTTGTATGTTTGGTAAAATTCAGGTGTGAACCCATCTTATCCAGGACTTTTTTTCTTTTTGGAAGAATTTTTATGACTGCTCCAATTTCTGCGCTTGATGATATGCTATTATACCTAGAAAATCCCAAGGATTCAGTCAAGAGACTCCTGGAATTGATAAACGAATTCAGTAAAGTCTCAGGATACAAAATTAATACACACAAATCAGTGGCATTCATATACGCCAATAACAGTCAAGCCGAAAATCAAATCAAAGAAGTAACACCTTTCACAACAGCATCAAAGAAAATTAAATATTTAGGAATATATTTAATGAAGGAGGTAAGAAATATTTATAGGAAGAACTACAAAACACTGAGAAAAGAAATTGTGGACGATGTACACAGATGGAAATCCCGACCATGCTCATGGATTGGTAGAATCAATATTGTTAAAATGTTCATTCTACCTAAAGTGATCTACAGAATTAATGTACTCCCTATCAAAATTCCACCATCATTCTTTACAGATTTAGACAAAATAATTCTATGCTTTGTCTGGAACCAGAGAAGACCTCCTATAGCCAAAACAATCTTAAGCAAAAAGAAAAAATTGGGAGGCATCAGTCTGCCAGACTTCAATCTTTACCACAAGGCTATAGTAACCAAAACAGCATGGTATTGGCACAAGAACAGAGATGTAGACCTTTGGAATAGGACGGAGATCCCAGATATAAAACCATCCTCATATTGTCATCTAATCTTTGACAAAGCAGACAAAAGTATACATTGGGGAAAAGAATCTTTCTTCAATAAGTGGTGCTTGCAAAACTGTATGACCACATGCAGAAGATTGAAACTGGATCCCCACCTCTCACTTCTCACGAAGTGGTTGGGTCCCACTGTACACACCGGAGGGGCCGGGACAGAGGAGGTCTCCTGGGTGCTCCTCACCCCGTGACTCCCTCGAGATGCGTTTCTCTCTGTTACCACCCTGCCCGTCGGTGACTGTTGTGTCAGCGTCCCTTTTCCACTTCCAGAGGTTTCCTGAGGGGCACACCTGTTTTGTCACCACTGGACTCCCTGTCCTTAGCAGCGCCTTGTGCGGAGCATGTGCTCGGTGTTTGCGGAATGAATGAACGAGATGTGGGAGTGCTGCTGGGGTGAGGCTCCAGCGCCCGAGGGAGCGGCCTTGGGACAGGGCGGGTGGGAGGGGGAGAGCGGGGAGGGGCAGGGAAGGATGCCTGAGCAGGGTGCCGGCAGGACGGAGGGAAAGCCGTCGTCGTGGGGGAGGGCGGAGGTACTGCGGCCAACAGAAGGAGCCCTGCGAGGCCAGCTGCCACACGCTGGAGCAGCCCCAGCCACACTGCTGCTATTTGGCAAGAGTCAGCAGCTGGCGTTTTCAAAAATGTCCCTGCGAGTTTTTTTATGAGTTTTTTCTAGAACAAAAAAATAACTTTTTTTCCTAATAAAAATGCATATAAACGCTCTGTTACGGAGTAACTGGACCCCATGCCCAGACAGGACTGAGCAGGACTTGACAACGACACGCCAGGCCTAGCAGGTCACGCAGGGCAGGGTGGGTCTGTGCTGGTCCCAGAGGGGCGCTAGGAAGGGCAGCCACCCCACACAGGTCACCGGCAACGACTGGGCTGGGAGGGAGCACAGTGCGAGGCCAACGCCGCACGGAGCAGGCCTGTCACTCCGGGGAAGGAACGACATGGAGATACCGTGAGTGCTCTGAGGAGGGGACATCCCAGACCAGAGGTCAGTAAGCGCTTTCTGTCAAGGGCCAGGGAGTAGATGTTTTGGACTCTGTGGGCCACACAGTCTCTGTTGGAGCCACTCGACTCCGACACTACGGTGTGGAAGCAGCCAGAGACTACACAAATGCAGGGGGCATGGCTGCGTCCCAATAAAACTTCATTTATACAAACAGGCAGCAGCTGGATTTGGCCCGAGGGCCACAGTTTGCTAACTCCTTGATGATCTCCAGGAAATGAGGCTCGACTGCAACCGCAGGGCCCTGATGTTGGCTGCCACGTTGAGAAACCACTTGATCTCCTCAGAGATCAGCAAAGCTCTAATCTGTGAGTTCCAGGACTTTCCCAGCGGAAGGGGGACAGCCAGCCACTGCTGGGCCAGCAGCACTGCAGCCATCGTCTCTCACCCAGCAGTGACACTGCAACTGCATCCGAGTGGCCAACGCAGTTCCCTCTTGGTTTTTTCATGAAATGTGAACCAAAGAATTTCCTCTGTTGGGATGAACTACATCTGGGATGGGGAGAGGGAGCAAAGGGAACTGAAGAAATTTAATTTACAAACATTTTCAGAGCCAGGCGTGGTGGGGCTCAAATGTAGTCCCAGGAGTCTCACCCTGGGCAATGTAAGGAGACTCCATTTATAAAAAAACTAAAAAATAAAAACATAAAAAATGTGCAGGCCCACTAGCAAAGCCAGACTCCTTAAACAACGGAGACCTGCTCTTGTGCCTGTGGCATGTGGCAGCCTGGCCCCTCCGGGTGGGCGGATGTGGGGACCACACCCTGCAGCAGAGCCCGACTTCCTCCAGATGTGCCTAAAGGCTCCCCAGGGGGCCCAAGTGCCCTGGGGCGAGGGGGAGCGGTTAGGAAAGCGCACAAATCTCACAACGACACAGAGGCCCCGTTGTGTGACATGGGAACAGAAAGGCCAGTGGGAACCAGCGGAGGCCCCTGGCAGAGCAGGGCACGGCGAGATGAGAAGAGGAGGGTCACTGCTCGAGATGGCACTGGCGCGTGTGGGCGACCGTTCACACAACCGCGTAACACCAGCTTCTCTGCTCTAGAGTGTGTTGCCGAGGGAGCCCTGTCCCCTCTTGCCCCGGAGGCGCAAGCCCCCCACGCCCCGGCCCCGTCCCGGCCGGGCCCTGGCGGCACTCACCGCGGTCAGCGCCTCCACGCCGGCGCCCATCAGACAGAGGTACCGCACCACGTCCAGGATCCCGTTGCTGGCCGCAAGGTGCAGAGGTGTTCGTCCACACTGGGGGAGAAAAAACACCAGAGAGTCCTTCTCACGCTGCTGCAGAGGCTGAGGTTCAGGCAGTGCACGCGGGGGGCGGGAGGGGGCAGCAGGCAGGAAGATCTGGGGTCGTCAGGAAGACAGAGGAGACGCTGTCTCCTCTCTCCAGAAACTTTCCATCCACGGAGGCAGGCCGCCAGGCGGACCGTTTTCAAGTACTTTACAGCTAAAGGAGTCACTTCAAAATGCAATTTCAAATGAAGGAGTGGGCGGCTTACCATGGGATAACTAAATTAAGTTTCCTGCTGTGCTGGCGGGAAGGAAGAAGGAGGGAGCCAAGAGCTTCGGGGCAGCAAAGTTTTAGCAAGATCTGCCCCGTAGTTCAAATTTAGACACAGCCAGGGGAGAAAAGAGAGAAGGGCAGATACTGAAGACACTGCAATGAGTGAAATCCCAAGGATATGCCCACCAAATTTCTATTATGCCTATGGTTCCCAAACTGTGTGCTAAGGCACCTCAGGGCACTGCAGTGAAGTCACAGGGGTGCCAAAGAATACTGGAAGTTTTTGATGGAGCCGCCTTGTGTAGACACCAAGTGAACTACTAGCTCGAGGTTGTTCAGAGTCTCCTCACTAGATTGTGTCACCTTCCCTTTAATGGTATCTTATCTTTACACAGCAGGGGTTAGTGGTTGCTATACTAAGAAGCCAGTATCTCGAGAAATTCACTGTGGAACAGGAAGTGAGGGCAGCTTGTCCAATCTGAGCCCGAGGTTTGAGAAGCTGGGCAGTGCCCAACAGGGTGGTTATATAAGAATGAGATTAAAATAGTGGTTTTCTTTCAATTAATGTGTATGATTTTTCTTAATGGCTACTAAGTTGTTAGGACATATTTACTAAGGCGTTTGTACTGAACCACTCAATTTATGAACAGAACTGTCAGGTATTTCTTCGGCCCTAGGGGAACCGTGAAAAGAAATTGCTGAGACCCTAAGGATGTTGTGAACTGAAGAAGTGTGGGGATCTCTGATGGATGCTGTCCATTGGTAAATAACTGTTATGAAGTTAACATGCTCTTTCAAATATCCAAACAATAAGAGCAACATACAATAGAAAGTAAAGGTCCTCCTTCCCTACTCCCTCCCCTCACCCCTGCCTGCCCCCAAGTCCTCCTGCCTGGAGCTGTCCCTATTTAATATTTTGTCTTTTGCAGCAGCATGGATAGAACCGGAGGCCATTATCTTAAGTAGAAGCAGCCAGGCACAGAAGAACAAATATCGCATATTTGTACTCCTAAGTGGGTGCTAAAAAAACGTGTACATGTGGGCGTACAGGGTGGAGTGACAGATAATGGAGACTCAGAAGAGTGAGGGGTGGGGGTGGAGTATGATGAGAAGTGGTGAGGGATACCCTAAAATCCCTAACTGCACCACTGTGCAATAAATGCGTGTAATAAATGTAACCTCATATATTTGTACAAACAAAAGCGCTGTTGGTGCCTTTCCTTCCAAGCTCTTACCTACGAATCCTTAATGGGATTAAAGCGAAATAATTTAAACAGCCAAGATGTGATCATACCCAACCTTCTACTCTATCGCTTGCTTTGTCCACCTAACAATAGATTGTGACTACTTTTCCATATCTGTTACCAAAATCAATCACGTTCTTATGAATTCCTGAATAGTATTTGCTGTGTGGCTGCGTTGTGATTCACTGAGCCAGCGCACGCAGGTGGACACCCAGCGAGGTCCAATTCTGTGTAGCACAACTAGTGCAGCAGTGTGCACACACATTCATATTTCTTTACTATTATCCTCTACGGTGATCTAGAAAGAGTTATTAAGCATTCAGATATCCTAGAGTTAACAAGAGAAGGGAAAGAGAAGCTTTCAAAGGTTTGGAAGAAGTGTCTGGAAGATGCAATCTAAGGGAGATATCATTCCGGCTGTAGAACGTACACAGTTTTGCAGAGGGGAAGAGAGTCCCTGAGGAGGAGGAGTGTGATGGGGTGGAGGAAACTGACACTTTGAAGCCCCCGGTTTTGGACAGAATAAAATCTAAAGTCCTTAGCATGATATTCCAGGTCTGTCACCACCTGGACCCAACGTCTCTTCCTAGCTTCATCTTATGCCTTTCCCCATTACCTGCCATCTAAATACCTACCCAACCCCACTACGTGTCAGCGACAGCCCCCAGTAGACATACTTGCTCGCCTCGTGTGAAACAGGCATCCTCTATTCCCTCTGTCAAAGCCCTAATCATTTTTACGTCATCACCTGTGAAAAGTCTTCTCTGATTTCTTTAATGTCCAAATTGTTGCATCTATGTTTCCGAAGCACCTGTGTCCTTGTTACAGCAGTGATGACAACATGACATGCTGCGCGATCTGCATGTGTACGTGTCTGTCTAAAAGCAGCCCCAGGGCAGAACCACTCACTCTGGTGAGCTCCTCCCTCCACACTCCGTAAACGCTCGCCAGGCACGGAGTCCTCTCGTCCTCCCAGATGTGTGCGTGTGCATGTGCACACGTGTGCACAACATGCTTTCTCTGTCTTTGCTTATAAAAAGCACCAGCTCAAAAGGAACAAGTGGGCGAGGGCCATGCACTCTGTGTCGTCTATTTCATTTCCTTGTGTGTGTTCTCTAACGCCGTAACGCAGCCGGGTTAAACAGCTGCCCTCCTGATTGCCGCATGAGAAGAATGAAGGATGAAGAAATGTCTGTTTCGTTGCATGAGCATTAAAGATAGTGAGGAGGTCCCCGACAGGGGTAGGATCTGAACTGCCATTTTTATCTCTGGGGTAAAATTTAATCCAGACAAGGAAAAGGCAAGCTGACAACACAGGGAAAGAGTCACAGTCTTCCAGTGGGTCATAGATGCCTCCGTGCCACGTCCACGCTGTCGTTGGGTTGAGGGGGTCCGTGAGTAGCTGGATGTGCCATGGGGGGAAATGACGCCTTTCCATCCCCTCCCCTGCACATCTCCTAAACCCCTCTAGAGCCCCATCACCCTTGCTTTAAAAAAAATAGAAAAACAAGCGTGACACCAGCCCTTCTGAAGGAGGCCTGAGAACCCCAAGGGCAGGACCTGCTAATCATCGGGGTGTCGAAAGCAACCCGGGAGCCTGTCTGCGGGCAGGGTGCAGACTGTGTGCCCGGCACGCTTCTGACCCAGATGGGCTCTGAATCTCGGGTCTGAACTTTTCTGTGAATTCCAAGAGGTTGAAACTAGGCAAATGATTCTCTCTTTAGCTGAACTCAACTCAATGACAACGTGATCTTCTGGTGGCCCTCTGTGTGCCACTGCCATGCCGTATGTAGCAGAAACGCAAGTTTACGCCAGCACTTATGACTGTCATGGCCATTTGCAGTAGCAAAAACATAGAGACTTTTCCATTAAATAAGCCAGTTGTTTTAAAACATGAATGTCTGGGATTGTCTTGCTGGAATTTTAAAGAGCAAACATAGTAAACGTACTTTTTGCATTGAGGCGTAGGGTGAAGCTGGAAGAACACCTGTTCCCTTTCTAGGTTAGGGCAGAGCACCGTGAGGCGCGCGCCTCTTCCCGGCCCCGTCACAGGGAGGGAGCTGGTCCCAGCTGCTGGGCACACGGGAGCCCCTGCGCATACAGTGGCCAAGCGTAAGGCAGTCAAATCAGTGCACGGGTGTTCCTTGAAGCCGCTTTTGATTCATTTAAACAATCCAGGAAGGAAAGCCAAGGTCTTTATGCTACTTTATATTACATTTGGCTTCCCCCTTAAGCCACTTACCTCCCTGACTCGGCAAGATTAGAACGGGATAAACGAAGGAAGCAACCAGCAGCTCATGGCTGAGACCCAGGATACTGCCTGTTCACATTCCCACAATGTGAAGATTACCAATTTCAATTTCCATTAGAATTAATCACATATTATGCCAGACGAATAATTTTTTGGAGAAGTATAATTTTCCAGCTGTTTCAGACATTAATTCTTTTACCTAAACAAACTGTACTAAAATCCTGCTGGCACTGTACATGCCATTGGTAAATAAGCATTTCCCTACAATTAAAATATTAATTCCGCTTGGACTTTGTTTTTAACACAATCATAACAGAACAGTACTTGAACTTTCATACAGCTCCAGGACTAAATCCACATGAATATCCAACTGTTCTACCTTATTTGGTAAATTAACAGCTAGACAGGATTCAGGGACAAGCGAAGGTGGTAGCTAAATTCTCAGAGTCAACATACAGGATTTTTTTTTTATGGACCTGGGATCGTATAATTAATTATTTTCATTCCTTCATTATTCACCAAATGATACAATCCCCTTGGTCTTACTAAATTTATTTAGCACAGACAAAGGTATTAGGAACTTTTGACTATAAAACTCTCAATGTAAAAAGCTAACAAGAAAAATATGGTCTTAGGAACCTTCATCAAATCACAATATCATCAGATGTTTTCCTGAAGACTTTGAGCTCCAGAAAGATGCCCCAATTTGTACAATGTTCTCTGATTCCTCCATAGCTGTGGTCCCCAACCCCTGGGCTGTGGGCCATTACCAGTCCATGGCCTGTTAGGAACTGGGTCTCCCATCACTGCCTGAGCTCCACCCCCACTGCGTCCATGGAAAACCCATCTTCCATGAAACTTAGGAACGGGGCGGCACAGCAGGAGGTGAGTGAGTGAAGCTTCGTCTGCATTTACAGCCGCTCCCCATGGCTGGCATCACCAACCAAGCTCCACCTCCCGTCCCTACCTGCTACCCCCACATCTGCAGAAAAACTGTCTTCCATGAAACTGGTCCCTGGTGCCAAAAAGGTTGGGGGCTTCTGTTCTACAGAACCGTACACACATACCCACACACACTGGATGCAGTGTCAAGCCAGGCTGGACAGGAGGTACTTGTTAATGTAATAATTTTCTGTTACTCTAGGAAATTATTCAGAAGTCACATGTAAAATACGCCCCCCAAATGGCAGGGCCCTACGGAAGGGAACACGTCCGCACGAGCGACACTGGGTTTGAAGAGACGCAAACTGAAGCCCAAGCCACAAGCAGGTGGACGGACGGAGCCAGCTGGGACGTGCAGGGGTCTTGCCCTCCATGCGTACCTTGTTTGAGACGTCCAAGCTGCAGTTTGCTTCGCAGAGGGCCACGACGATAGGCAGGTTGCCGTCTTTGCAGGCCACGTGGAGGGGGGTGTTGCCGTGCCTGTCCTGGAAGTCCACGAAGCAGCCCTGGCCGAGCAGGGTCTTGAGCACTTCCATCTGGCACCGCCGCACGGCCAGGTGAAGGGCGATGTGCCCGTCCTGGAAACAGACCCCGTCACGGTGACTTTTGCCTGGGCCTGGGCCCCTGACTCTCCACTTCCCTGCCGCCCACTGGGTGAGGTCTAATTGGCAATAGGATCAGAACTGAAAGCCCAAAGAAGGATTTAAAAAATCATAAACCTTTCCTGGGGGGAGGCCCGTGATAATGAGAGGGAAGAGGAGGCTTTCTATGCTCTACTCCGAATGATCAGGGCCTGAGCTGACCGTGAGCTCGGTTAATTTAGGCCTGGGCTGTACAATCGGGCAGGGCGAATCTATACTGCTTTTTGTCTCTGAATTTATAAAACACAAGAATTGTTGATACTCTGACGTCCTGTTGAATCAAAGTATTTGAAAAAACATTTTAAAAAACATTTGCTCAGCAATCTTCACTAACATCCTAAGTATAGAGACTACTATTTTAACTTGCATCAGGAGGAGCTGAGAAAGCAACGTGAAATAATTTGCTCAAGAGCTGTCACATAAATGAGAAACAGATTAACATGCTTAACCTCTGCATCCTACAAAAAACAAGCCTGGGAATGCATTATAGAATCCCTGGTGAATAGACGTGTTGAGTTTTAGGAGTTGGGTAGAGAGTTCTGAAACATTTCTATAACTCATCTGTGCTGGGGTCTCTCAGCCTCAGCACCACTGGTATTTGGGGCCGGGTGATTGTCATGGGGCTGTCCTGTGAGCTGTAGGATGCTTAGCAGCGTCACTAGACTCAACCTACCAGATGCCAGTAGCAACCCCCACCTCTAGCTGTGACAATCAAAAAATGTCTCCAGACATTAGCAAATGTCCCTGGAGGCAAAGTCACCCCTAGGTGAGAACGACTGTTTTGTACCAAGAAAATCCTTCCCAAATGGCAGATACTAACTCAACTACTGCATCCCCAATCTAACTATACATAGCAATAGCACAGCCTCATTTTATGTGCAAGTTGACAATAAAAAGAGATTATGCTGAATTTGCTTAATTAAAAAATGGAACACCTGGTCTAGAATTGAGATTGACAGGCAAATAAGAGTGGTTTATTGTCTTTTTACAAAATAGCAGATGACGGAAGTAAATAAATTTCTTTGTTTACCTAAAAATTAATAGGGTGATGGCAATTTTAGTCCTCAACGAGGACTGTCTTGGATTCAGTGATTGTCACTGTACCTGCTCCAAAGCTAAAAAGGCTAAGAATAAAATAGAAGAGACCAAAGCCAACTGATCAATTCATAAATGTTTTCACATGACAGAAATGAATGTTAACTATTATGCGGAATCTAGAAAAGTTCACAGAATCTTTGGAAGAGAGACTAGAAAGGGCGATGACGATTTGCTGTATTCAAGTTTGTTATCTTAGGGAAAGGATTAAGGAGTCTTGTGGTCCCTCTAGCTCCCTCGATCATTTCTCAGTGAGTGTGACACCCTCCCCAATAAAGCACCTTGTCAGAGGCATTCAGGTCAGCTCCGTGTTCCGCCAGACACTCCACGATGTCGTGGTAGCCCCTGGCGGAGGCGGTCAGGAGGGGCGTCTCTCCTTCTCGGTTCTTAATGTTCACATCACAGCCGGCTTCACACAGGGCTTTGGCCACAGAGTAATAGCCGTGCCAGGCAGCGCAGTGCAGGGGGGTTTCTTCTTCCTGGCAAGGAGATAAGTGCATAGAGGAGGAAGTGCTACAATGTGAAAGACAGTGCAAGGCATGGTGGGGGTGTGGCCAAATTCAGCAGCAAAGCAAAGTGAAGGCAGCTAGGGGGAAGAGCTCATAGCTATTGGAGCAACCCGTGAATCTGAAATGGCGACACGGTGTGAGCTGCCACCACCAACAGGCAGATGTGCTGTCTCTCCTTTGTTAGTGCTCTTCCGTCAACACCTGAGAGCCTGGTGAACCCGGCTGTCTGCGCACGTGACTGACGACGGCCTCTCGGGAGCCCACTGGAACCACGGGCCCTGCTTTTCTGAGCCGTACAGCCTTAGTGTGGGTGCATCTATAGCATCTTGCTTGGAAAAGTGCCTTCCTTGACTTCATCTGAAACTATGAGTGGTGGGAGAGCACTTCTCTGAGCAAGAATTCTTCTATCAGTCCTGATGCTTCAAGATGTGTCGAGTATGTGACACGAAGGTGAGTCGTGACAGCACTACTGCTTTGGCAAGGAAGTCATGGTGGAAGCAGGCAAGGCCTTGTGGTCTGTAAGGACATGAGGCCTAGCCCGTCACAATCGACAGCATTAGACACACACACCTTCCTACGAGAGGCTGCTACAGTGCAGTCGTTACAAACACGGACCCTGAAACCAGACTGTGTGGGGTCTAGGCCTGGCTCCACCACTTATGAGTTGTGTGAGCTTGGGCAAGTTATGGAACCTTTCCCTGCCTCAGTTTCCTCATCTGTAAAATAGGAATAATAATAACAGTGACCCAACTCAGGGCTGTCCAGAGGACTAAATGAATGAGTGAACGAAACGGTTAGAACCGTTCCTGGCACCAGCACCTTCCCCGCGTTGCAATGGTGCTTCTGTTCGAGTCCCTGCTCTCTGCAATCCATGGCAGAAACCCAACTCGGGGAACACGCCCAACGACCCGACTGTACCCTCTGGCTGCCTGTACACCCATGCAAAGAGCGGGAGACGGGGTGTTGGCTTCTGGGACCCACCTTGTCCTGGAAATCGGGATTAGAGCCGAAGCTGCACAGTAGCTGGACCACGTCGGCGTGGCCGTAGCGAGCCGCCACGTGCAGGGCCGTCTCTCCAGACTGCGGAAGGAACAGAGACGGCGATTCAGAGTCTCCTCTGCGAGCAGCCGTGGACACCAGAACACAAGGCCCACTGCCAAGTCTGGTCCTGCCTCATCACCCACCCACTGTGGGCCAGATGCCTCTCCGTGGCAGGTTGGGGATTGGGGTGTGAGCATTAAACCCACACATTTGGCTCGCCCATTGGTGATAAATCCCAAGTGTGAACAAACCGGTGAGAAGGGCTTCCCTTTTCCATGGTGGCTGTTCTTAATCTTCATGTATGGATCCTTCTAGCTGCGTGATTGTTTAAGACCACAATATTCCTTTAATACTAGGTTTATAGTTCGATTATTTAAATGTACCATTTTATTTATTAACCAGTTTCTCATTTCATTGCCTGACTATGCTTAGAAACTTATTTCTTACATTCTCAGAGATTTTAAAGAACCTCACTATTCGCCCATACAATAACTTTCCATGGATTAGTAACATATCCAACTCCTTTAAGATAATTTACTTACATCCATTCCCCAAATTATCAGAATAAACAAATTTTTAAAAGACAAAAGGACATATTTTATTACCACCTGCCAGAAAATTGCCATAATAATACACAGGTGTCTCGGATGAGAAGTCATCCCTTAGATACGGTGCAGTACACAACCCATACAACGGTGTGTGGCAGCCTTGACTAAACATGTCGAATTAGCCTACCAGTATTAGAAGCAGGGAAGTGCTATATAGTAAAATACATTATGGATGAGAAGGTAGAAACTCTAGGTTCAGGTTCCAGCACTGACAATTAATTCATGGGATTGCTGTGTAGACTGAATAAAACACGTATAAATGAAAGCAAGGTATCTTGCTAAGTCAATAACTTTTATAACATCTTTGCCCCCCAGCAAAGCCTTACTTAATGTGCATTATCTCATTAATCTCCTAGTGCCAGTGACTGGAAGGCCAGCACTGTCAGCCACTTCAAACAACAAGAAAATGGTAGAGGTGTGCTTAAAAGCACAAGGCAAGTCAGTAAAAGAGTAGACTCAGGTCTCTATCTGGTTGTCTTTCTGTTAGAACTCTGAGTTTGCACATTATGGGGAGGATCATTCACTGCTTGCATATTATGGCAACTACCTGGAAGATGCCAGCATAAGGCAGATTTTAATATTAGACCAAACCACAGGCCAAAAGAAACTTCCAACTTAAATTCTCTGCAGGAAGATTTTGGTCCTGAATTCTGATTCTTTGTGTCCTGATGCACATGGAGTGCCAGTATTCACATGCATCCTTTTATTACTTCCTCATGTTGCTCTAAGAAGAGAAGTGGCCTTACCTTGTCTTTAACATCCAAAGGGCATTTGTTCTCATTGAGAAATTTCAAGGTATCGACGTGGCCATGCCGAGAAGCCCAGTAGATGGCATTGGATCCACCCTGCATAAAAACCAACGTGGAGTCACATTCCCAGAGAGCCGGTAGATTTGAATGCATGCAGCCCTTGGAGTCACTATATCTCCCTTCCCATGTGATGACCAACCAATCTCAAAGAAGCAACTTCCCAGAACAATAAAACCCTCATTCAATTTTATAGTTTTGACAAACACACCGTGTTCACTCACACAAGATGTTAACATTAGGGGCAACTCTGTACTATTGTTCCAACTTTTTTGGTAAATCTATAATTATTTCAAAACAAAAAAAAATTATTTTTCTTTTTATAAACCCTCATTTCAGCCCGTGGTTAGGATTCCCCTATTATGGAGGGCCGGATCTAGTCCATTTACAGCTCTGTTGAAAGTCTAAGGATGCTGACAACAGATCCATTGTGATGACTGTCAGCTGTTACTTCATTCTGTCTACACTTCTAATGCAAGCTAGCCCTCAAAGTGTATCATCCTTACTCAGTTGCCCAGTGAACATGCAGGCAAATTCATTTCTGGTGAGATTAATCAGACAATGCAAACTTTTCCAAGTGTGACATCTCACACTGTTGAGCAAATGTGTACAAAGGAATGCGGATCTAAAGCAACAGAGCCAAGGAGGCGATAAATGTTTGCCTTTTTCTAACATAGGTGGCAGACCGTACCAGGCTCTGTAAGCAGTCCATCTTTCTTTACAGGAAACTGACAAATTAGGACATATATATTTTTTCTGTTACCTCTAGGATTCGTAGGCATTTGGAAATACTTTTAAAAAATCAATTCACTTGCAATAAAATAGAATTAGGACCTTATCCTGGACATCGATTCTTGAGCCTCTTTTAATGAGCAACTGTAGTATTTGAATATTTCCGCAGCCAGCAGCAATGAGTAACGGAGGTGTTCCATGCTGGGATAAGAGAGGGAAAAAACATCCTTTTTCAGGCATGGTAGAAAAGGAAAAGCCCAAACGATCATTGCTGTCTCCATACACCCTCCCATGGCTCAGCAGACACAGAACTGCTGCCAGAAGGACACACGACAGCCCTTCCTCTTTCAGATTCACATCAACAGTGACATTTTCATTTGCAGGTGGGTAGAGACTCAACAGGTGAATGAAGAAAGGCCCTCAATGCGAAAAGACCTTATTTGTGACTCAAATCGCTGTCTAAACAGAAGTGATTTTTCCTGCAGTATAAGTTTCTCATTGGAAGGCAGAGTGGAGAAGCAGATGGGGTCTTCCCACCTTGGACTTGGAGGTGCACAGCCACTGTGACCACCCTCCCCCCGACCTCCCGGACCCCTGGCAGAACAGAACCAGACCTTGTTGGGTTGGTTAACGTCGTAGTTGGACAATGAGCCCAGAAGGTGCTGCAGGCCTGGGACGTTGTCATCATTGATGGCATGGATGATGGCTTTCATCACAAAGGAGTCTTCCTCATCCTAGACAGAGATAGCAGAGAAGGAAAGAAAGAGTTAGCCTATTGGCTGTGATCTTCTTATCCACCTAAGAGAAATCAGTGCTCCCCTGTTTGCAGGGGCATTCAGAGGGAAGTAAGCCGTGTAATCCCCAAATCCACACGGTCATGGAGGGAACTGGGGGTTACTGTCTGTCCCTTCCATGCAGCAAATAAACACCATCTACGATTCGCCTGGGTCCTAATGTCACCTGCATTATAATCCAGAGAACAAACAGCTTCCGAGCTTCAGATTTCAAACAATGATGATGACAAATAACCATTTGTATTTATCTTAGGAATCTGTCCAAATAGAGGCCCAGAAAGCACTGTGGAAAATTTCAGGTGCAATACAGGTCTCTTCTGGGTAAGGAAAAAGAAAAACCATAGAAGCAAACGAATGATGCCTTTGAATAAGATATTCTTAATTTGCAATTTTTCCAAGTACAGAATTGTCATTTTTTGATCACTTGAGTTTCTTCTTTCTTTATATAAAGAATAACAGGGTAAAATTCTCTGATAGCTGGTCATTGTCATAAAAAAAAATGAAGAAGAATGAAATAGGCTCTAAAAAGGGAGAAATAAAAATAAAGGTCAGAAAAAGGAAAATGAATGCATTTCTCCTTACAGTGGAAAAATATCTAGAGAATGCTGAATAAGTTTGTTATATCTTTGCCACTTTGTCAAAATTTTCTTTCAATAACAAATTTCCACAATATGGCACATTAAACCAATGAATCAGCTGGAAAGATCCTAAACGAAATTTCTGGACTTAGATGGCTACTGACATTTCAGATCTGGAAAAATGCATCTACAGAGGCTGGACCTCTGCTTGTGGGGGCAGAACGGAAAGAGCATTTCTCTGAACTGTTTTCTATAGATCTGAATCTAAACAAACTCCATGTGGGTTTTTAATACTATTTGTATGGAATACACGTTTAAGAATGGCATTGGTTTTCCTTTTCTGTCACAATCCAAGTTATGACTATGAGACATTTGCATGAAAGTGAAAGTCAAGAGAAAGGAGGAGATTGGAGAAATAAGGCAGTTGTGCCAGGCCACACAATTAGCAGAACACGGGGACGAGAGAACCTGACCTCTAGTTGGGGACCTTCCCAACCGGAGTTTCCACGGCATTCTGGGTCCTGCTTCTACCTTAAATTTTGACTGTGATGCATGTATTTTTTTCCCAACTGACTATTCAGGATGATTTTCATTTGCAAACTTTAATTATTCTGATCATCTCACTTCGAGTCATAATAGTTATCTTTTCCTTGGGTCCACCGTAGCCCGCAAGCAATTCCCAAACTAAGCCTTCCTCTTGCTCCTCTTCTCCCCCTAACTTGTTTCTCTCCCTCGCCTTTTTATTTTTTAAAACATCTCTTACCTCATTTTATTCCACAAGGCTAGACCTGGAGCCTCGGTGAAGCGACTCATTTCAGGGGAAAAAAAAAAAAGAGCGCTGGTGTCTGCTCAAGTGTGATCCCCACCCTTGGAGTCGCTGGCTCGGCCCAGGAACGCTGACTACTCCGTTACAGGGACAGGGCGGTCCCCACAGAACTCCCGTGTCTGCCCTTCCTGGAGTCCCCTTTACCCCGAGTTAACAGAGCCCTGTTGTTGGGCTGTCGGGGTAGAGTCTGGTTGAATTCAGATGCGTCCACTCACATCGGAAGAGCCAATCTGTGATTGAGTTTCAGTTTGGATTGGGGGGAAGACTGCAGAGCTGGTCTCAAGGCGCTGGGGCAGTTAATACGCTGCCACTAAAGCAAGTGGGTTTGGCCGTTTGGTCCACCAGGAGACACGCCCGCGAGCAGCACGGCATTTTCCCATCTCCCAGTGTGTGTGCGTGGTGGGGGAAGGGGTGGCGGCTGTCTCCCCTTTTTGTATTACTGTGATCTAAGATTCTCCTATGTCACTGGCTATAGAGGCTCTCATTTTAGATCATGCAAATTAGAATGAGCTCTTTCCTCTTGACTGGTTTCCCTCTCTTACCAAAATGTGTGTGTGTGTGGGCACGCACGTGTGTTTATGTGTGTGTGCATGTGCGTGCATCAAGACAGAGGGTAGTGTTGGAGGTCGTAGTGGTGCGAGTGGGGCAGAACCAACCAAATCAAAGAGAAAAGAGGAGAAAGCAGCACAAGGGTCATCAAATCATCCACCCGAACCCCATCTTCGAGAGGAGTGGGAACAGGCCTGGCATTTCCACGACTCCAGGTTTTCTGGGCTACTGAACAAACAGAACGGCTTAAACACCCTAAACACACAGCCCCGAGAAAGAGGCTCACCAAGGCAAACAGGTTTGCTTACCAGAGTATCATCGCTTCTGGCGACACTCATGTTACTTCTGGACAAGAACGACCTGGATAATCTTTGGCACAGTGATATCAAGCGAACGGATTGCTTTAAAAAAGAAAAGAGTCAGGGGAAGAGGGGGAGAGACCTTATGTAACAATAGTCAAATTAGTGCAAATGACAAAGTCTTCGAGATAGTGCTCACTGCTGACAGTGTGCATTCCTCAGGGTTGGGCAATCCTAAAGTAGGTTGCATTCTATTTGCTTACAGAATAATTCTAAAGGTCTTACAAATCAAGACAACAGGACAGAGAGAGATTCTTCCCATAGAGAGAGATTTTTCCTCTGCATTTCATTATTAAACTACAGAGCTGGACACCTTGCATCCCTTTTCTCTCCATATTTTGGTCTCTACTCGTTGAAGAATGTGATTACCCTGCAAAACCCTTGCAGGTTCCCCCGTGGAGAAGCACAGTATGCAGGGACCTTGCTCTGTGTCCTCTGTGCCACGTGGGCAGTAATGGTAGCTAATGTGATAATGACATACAATTGTCGAAACAACAGGTGGGACCCCTTAGTTACAGAACAAACATCTCTGCATTTACACTCAAAGGCAGAAGCAAACAGGTAGGGAATGTGAGAAACAAGTGGTTCTCTATTTTTTTTTTTTTTTTGAGACAGAGTCTCGTTCTCTTGCCTGGGCTAGAGTGCCATGGCATTAGCCTAGCTCACAGCAACCTCAGACTCCCGGGCTCAAGCGATCCTCCTGCCTCAGCCTCCCGAAGTAGCTGGGACTACAGGCACATACCACCACAGCCAGGTAATTTTGTTTTTTTCTATTTTTAGTTGCACAGCTAATTTTTTCTATTTTTAGTAGAGATGGGGGTCTCACTCTGGCTCAGGCTGGTCTCAAACTCTTTACCTCAAGTGATCCTCCTGCCTTGTCTGCCTGGAGTGCTAGGATTATAGCCACCTCACCTGGCCCCTGTTCTCTCTACATTTTAAGCCTAATTTTAAGGGCTCCTTTGAGAATGTAGTGCTGTGGTCCTCCTGATCCCAATCAGGGCACCCCAAACTTGGTGAGTGTGAAAATGAGGCACACTGCTGGCCCAGTGCCAGGGAGACACAGCAGGTACCTGCTTCTTCTGGGTTTGACCTGGCCCTGGGCACAGGAAACAAAACCATCCTGTCTGAAGAAATCGGACCTAGAAGTCTGATTTGTTCCTGGACGTCAGGAATGCCTTTAGAGCCCTCTCCCTCGCAGCCCGGGTGGAGGCAGTGTGCACTGAGGAAGAAGAGGCCGCACTGCAAATGCTCACGGTGCTGCCTCACCCGCTCCCCAACTGCTTCCGGACAAAGGCTGGGTGTAGAGAGCCATGTACACAACTTCCCTTATGAACACGATCTCATGCTGCTTACCACAAAGAATGGATTTATTTAAAATGCGACTTGTGGTATTAGCAAAAGACTTCACTATAATTTTATTGTGCTGATTTGAAAATTCGTCTTGGGAATGGTTTTGATAAATAGTACAAAATTACATTTGAAAGTATGAGTTAAATAGGGCTGAAATACTGTTTTTGTTTGTTTTTGAAAATAGAGTAATGGTGCAGAGGATGACAGAGTCAATTAAAAAGAGGAGAGGATACATTTTCCACACTACCAGTGTCAGAAGAGATGAGCCCTGACCACACAGAGCTCCACGGAGGAAACAGACTTTGGTAATTCCTCCATGTCAAACAATCTTACTTTCCATTTTTTCCGGGCTGCAAACTTCTTGAACTTCTCCATGTTTACTGCCGATGCTTTTCTGCTAAGAGCTTGTTGCGTATCTTTAGGCTAAAACGAAAGTCCAAGAAAAAGACTTAGAGCTCTCAAATGACAGAAATGTATTATATGACAACTTTTTTTGAAAGTTCTCATAATTCAGGATGCTTACATAGTCACTTTACCAAATTAGAATGACAACGTGGGACAGCATGCAAGATCTGGGAATTTGGTCTCAGTAGGCTAACTGTTACATCGCAGGGTGTGATAAAACCTATAAAGAATGGTCTTGGGGACAAGGTGAGCTTGCAGCCAAACTGAATTATAACTTTCACGTTGATCCGCTTGGGAATGGTAAGATTCATGGTGAAGCTGTGTTCTGAGGCATTTGAAGTTGGGTACCATCAAGTAATTTAGAGCTGGGTGGGACATCAGAGGTTGGCACTTTCAGTCTCTCCTTTCTACTGCATCTTTTCCAGTAGATGCATTTAGCCAGGGCCATCTAGGGGAGCCTAGGCAATTGCTGCCCCGGAACCTGCTTTTGTAGCCTACTTATTCATTCCATGATTTTGTTCTATAACTGTCATATTTCCCCACCCTTAGTCCTTTCTGCCCTAGGCTGAAGCAACTTTAATCCCAATGCCAAGAGGGCCAGGCAGGTAATGTAAAGGTGCAATATGCCAGGGTGGCCACGTGCCCTCATGCAAAGGCACCTGTGCTCAGTGTTGGCAGATCTTCAGGTTTTTCAAGAGAAGCTGGAAATAGAGATTTCATATGATATTTACATTCTGGAAATTAATTCAAATTTTTAAAAAAATTCTATTTGGGCCAGCACCCCACAGGTCAAACCAAAACATGGCTGTTGCGTGGACTTGACCTTTTATGATTCTGCTTCATGATGGCTTACTCCTCTCCCTCCACCTTGGTGATCACTAGGATACAGTCTAATATGTCAGTCTGTCTTAAAACACAGCATCAATAGCAAACAATACTCTAGGTATAACTTGTGGTTAGCAGTACTCTAGGACAAATGACCCCCAGAGCGCTCAAACTAGTCACTTAGAAAATGAGCTAGGCAGCGACATAACATGCAACTTACTTTGATCCAGGGATGCTGCAAACTGTCTTGAATTGTCATTCTCTTCCTTTTGATGGAAATAAAGAGAAAGAAAAAAGTGCTGTGACCATAGCAGCAAATACTACAGTTATTTCCGTGCTGGCTGGGTCTACCATGCAGACACTCTGGAAAACGCAGTTTAGGAAAGAAAGCCAAAAAACGACACGGGTCTCTTCGTGATTATTTTGTTGTGCCCGCAGGGACTGCCCAAGCAAGTGCAAAGGGCCCTGTGTACGTTTTCTGGAACATTTCAGGTGGCATGCTGCCCTTTGGCAGTTGCAACCACCAGGGTCTGGGAGAGGCGGCCACATGCACAGAGCAGGTGCTGGCCCCTGCCTAGTGGAGGCCATGGCCGAGCATCTTTCAGGGACAGGGGACACTCACTTTGGATCCTTGACCAGAAGTCTTCTTATGAAATCTTTGGCTAGGGCACTGGTATTACTGAAGTATTCTTCCTCAAATTCATAGTTGACAGCAGATACATTTGCTAACGTTTCTTGCTTAGTGTCTCCAAGAAATGGGGAGGCCCCACTTAGGCTGTTAGAAATAAAGTTGGGCGCAGAATATTAATGACAACCCCTTGTGTCGCCATTTTGCTCCTATAACATCTGCTAAGGGGACTGTGGAATAAGATAACCTGGTGCTTGAGTAGTCACTTTGGAGTTTGGCTATATTTCATAAGGCATTTAACTATCACAAACAAAAGCTTCACTTAATGCAAAAGATTCACTTAACAAGTTAATGTGGAAGAGTGTCTAGCAGTTTAAAAGAAACCTATTTTCTCAGCAGTGATGGACAGCCATGCTTTCTTTCAGCGACTATGCTACAGTTTCTGATGACTCATTTCAAATTAGGAGAAAATGTTTAATTAGTATAAACTAAACATGTTTTGGGGGTGTAAAATGAGTATGTTTACATAAAAGGATGCATAAGCTGAAGAGATCAACACAGCACATTTAATGGTTAATTAAACATATGGTCTCATAGGAGAGGAAAGGATATGAGTTGAGGATTTTGCTACTTACAGAATATAGGTTATTACTCCGATACTCCTAAACACAAAACAAAACAAAAGCTTGTCAGAAGAAGAGTAGAATGAATCAGAAAGATAAGAACACCAAGGACATGCTGCTTACCACATATCCGCCTCAAGACCAAGAGGTTCATAGTTGACTATCTCAGGAGCTAAGAGGAAATAAACATTCACTTAGCTTGAGAAGGAAGTAAAAGACTCTACCTTCAAGTAACAACCATAAACACGTGCCAAGGGAACGGTCTCGCAGCAGGCCAAGTCCCGCCAGCACGACGTTCACGAGATGTAAACAACCGCAGGAGGGAAGACACTTACCGACAAACTCTGGCGTCCCAAATATGTTTTTAAATTCATTGCCAAAGTCAATTTTATGGGCCAAGCCAAAGTCGATGATCTTGATCCGCGGCTTGGGGACATTTCTATCCAACAGCATTATGTTCTCAGGCTTTAAAAAGAGAGAGAGAGAAATAAAAAGCTATGATATGTTATGCTGAGGACAACAAAATAGTTCTTCCATTCCACAAAAAGAAAAGATCCCAAATAGGGAGAAAAGGTGATTGAAGGAGAACACCAGGGGAAGAGAGAAGTTTTGGTCACGCCCTCCCCAGAGCAGCCCTGAGGCAAGGGTCAGGGGCGAGTGGTTCCCTCGGCAGGGGTGCCAGGAACACTCGGTGGGGAGGGGGTACCGGAAACAGGGGCAGCCGGGGCAAGGTGTCCCACCGAGGCGGGGGACTGCAGCGCCGTCCCTCTGAGGAGCTGGGGCAGGAGGAGCGGGGCTCAGGCTCACTGCACCTGAAGCACGAGGGAGCTGGGGTCTTTACCCACCGCTGCCCCGTCCTCCACTGCCCAGAGCTGCGTCTGTGGGCACGTATTCTTTGGCGTTTCCAGCTCCCAGGGCCAGAAACCAGACACCAGGTAGAGTCACAGGAGTTCGCAGCAAGCGGCTTTCCGGGTGTGTGTCAGTGAGTCGGGGGTGGGGTACGCTTGGGGTCCAGTTACAGTGAGTGTGGAGAAAATCCTCTCTCTGTTAAGTCCGACCCTGGCTCCAATGGTCAGGATCATTCCACGTGTCTCCTCACTGCCTTCAACTAAAGGTCTGTAATGCTGCCATTTCCTGTTGCTCCCTTCCCAAAGAGACCGTGCCTCTGTCGCAGCTGGGAGTATGACTGATGCGCCTTGTCGTCTTCCACAGTGCCCTGCCTCCAGCCAGGCAAGCACCACAATTAGCCCACCTCAGGGTTTGGTTGGCTTGACTGTTGGTGACAGAGCCATGCCATAAGCCTTTGCATCAACAACGGGACAGTGTTCAAGACTCCTGTCTTAACGTGCCCAGAGCCACGGGGGAACCGGTGCCAGCCACTGGCTAGTCCAGGATGAAAAATGCCCCGGTAACCATGGGCAACCCCTCTGCTTAAAGACCTTGCTGGTAAGACCACTTGATTCTTCCCCAATGAGTCCAGGCGTAGTCACTAATCTTAAGCCTCTACACCTCAAAAAAGGTTAGGCAATCCCAAGGGTAGACATGTATTACCTGCTTGCTGATTTATACTGATAATTCCGTCTGTTATGCCCAGACAAGAGGAAGAAGGCAACCCTTCCGGATGCCTCCGTTTTTCTTATCGAATAAACCACCAAGGCTGTGCCTTGCACAAGCCGCTATCTGGCTCACACTCCACAACCTACCTTAAGATCGAAGTGGGCGATCTGAAGGGAATGTAGGTAGTAAACGCCATTGAGAATTTGTTTGAGAAATTCAGTGGCTTCCTCTTCAGTCAAAGATTCCTTTTCAGCTAAGAAGTCAAACAGCTCACCACCTGCAACACTGAGAACCCGGAAGCAGAGGTTATTGATGACAATTCTGTTTCCTATTAATTTGTTCTCTCATGAGACATGCTCAAATTCCAGACAAGCAAATAGCATAAAGTCATGCTGAAATCCCAAGAATTTTCTGTGCGTGTTATGAGAATTCTGCATTCAGGTGCATTTGTGCTTGAAAGTACGTGGGTGCCATTTTCCTAAGATACCACGTTCACAAATGAGGAGAGGGGCGGAGACAGACATCTCGGGGAGAAAAAAAATCAATGTGTCTTTAAAACATTTTAATTAAACATATTTAGAAGGGAAGTCTTAATTCTACTGATGGGGAAATAATGCAAACCAACCCTGTACAGGATTTACAGAATACATCTTCCTATCTCAATTACAGAGTAGCTGAGAAGTTTATAATCTGAATGTTCGTCAACTTTTTAAAACTCATGATCACAATATATGGTCTGATGAGTTTCTTTTTTGGTTAGTATTGGTTTATATGTAAATACTAATATGTTTATAAAGTTCTACATTTAGTAATGAACTTAACAAATACCTTAATTAGTAAGAATAAACTTACACAAAACTGAAATGTATGTGGTTGGTTAAGGATTTTTTAGTGTGCGTCGCCGGCCAGACTGTCAGCTGTGGAGGGCAGAGGTCAGCCACCCCCACCTCAGTGGCCACTGCTATACCCCCACTCCCAGGACAGTGCCAGGTACACAGCAAGTGCTCAAAACAGTGGATAGATATAGAAACTTCTCCTAAACACTCCATAGTGGTGATTAACGAAAAATAACCGGGAACTTTTACTAACGGTTTTTATAAGTTAAGCTTTGTCAAGTTTGACCCTACATTTACAACATAATAGTGAAGTGCAATCATGCACATCACTGCTGTATTCATTATCTTTCTTAGGGTAAGACAGTTTCACAAACATTATACCTACCGTCTCTACATCCATTCAGAGGAAGCAAACTGGTGTTCGTAAGATTAGACAAAAATGACAAAAAAGCTGTTTTCTTAAAAAAAGTTTCAGATCCCACCCTGAAGACACCCTCCAAGACAGCATTTGTCTTAGCGTAGTCTCAGTCCACTGGGTCAGAATTGCTTGGGGATGCTTTCAAAGTGAACATTCTCGGCCTCACTTTCAACCTGCTGGGTGAGGGTTTCCAAGAGTGTGGCCCAGGAAACTCAGCATTTTTAATAAGCACGCCAAAAACTGAGAACCATTTTCCCAAGTCTTAACCCCATGCGCCTGCTGCAGGGCCACCCCCTGATTTACCCAGGGGGCGAGGCGATCCTCCCATCCCTGGGCCTCTTCCCCAGGGGCCTAGTAGAAGCGACCGGGCCCTCCTGGAACAGTCCCCAGGGACTCCCTGTTGGCCAGAGGGGGCTGTCGCTGGGCCCGCAAGGCAGCTCCACTTGTCCTCCGCCCGTTCCTGCTCCCTTCTCCTCCCCTCCAAGTCTTGTTCCTAGACACGGCTCTTAACAATCACCCTGCACATTCTTCTCCATCTCAGAGTCTGTGTCCCAGGGAACACAACTGCACCCCATCATTCTGGGGCAGTCTGTTACCCAGCAGTACAACATTCACCATCTTGGACTGGGCTCAGCCAACAGAAATCAGGTTTGCGCTCTCACGCCTGCTCACCTTGTACCTTATTCCGTCTTTGAGTGCCGAGCAAGCCGGGGACCAGGACTGCAAAGTGGCAGTGCCTCATCAAGACTGAGAGAAAGGGGCACAAGTTGGTCCTCTACTTTTCTTCACCCACCCCTCTCTCGAGGCCCTGTTCAAATCTCATGTTATTATGCGAAGAGGTCCGTGCATAGCTTGTCCAGGAAGCTGAACTATTCAGTCAGTCACTAGGGGGGTGAGTGGAGCCCCCATCACGCTGACTTAGGGCCCCTCAACTGCCCCTGAAGGCCCTGTGTGTATACGCCTCCCCCTCCATCCCTACGCACACACTCCTCCCCCTCCATCCCTACGCACACACTCGTCCCCCTTCATCCCTACTTATACACTTGTCCCCCTTCATCCCTACTCATACACTCGTCCCCCTTCTCTCTACTCATACACTCATCCCTCTTCATTCCTACGCACACACTCCTCCCCTTTCATCCCTACACACACACTCGTCCCCCTTCATCCCTACGCACACTCCTCCCCCTTAACCTCTACTCATACACTCGTCCCCCTTCATCCCTACTCATACACTCATACCCCTTCATCCCTACTCATACACTCATCCCCCTTCATCCCTACGCACACACTCGTCCCCCTTCATCCCTACTCATACACTCATCTCCCTTCGTCCTTACACACATACTCATTCCCCTTCATCCCTACGCACACACTCCTCCCCCTTCATCCCTACGCACACACTCCTCCCCCTCCGTCCCTACGCACACACTCCTCCCCCTCCATCCCTACGCACACACTCGTCCCCCTCCATCCCTACGCACACTCGTCCCCCTTCATCCCTACGCATACACTCGTCCCCCTTTGTCCCCCTTCATCCCTACGCACACACTCATCCCTCTTCATCCCTACTCATACACTCATCCCCCTTCATCCCTACGCACATGCTCCTCCCCCTTTATCCCCATTCATCCTTATGCATACACTCGTCCCCCTTTGTCCCCCTTCATCCCTATGCACACACTCGTCCCCCTTCATCCCTACTCATACACTCATCCCCCTTCATCCCTACGCACATGCTCCTCCCCCTTTGTCCCCCTTCATCCCTATGCATACACTCGTCCCCCTTTGTCCCCCTTCATCCCTACGCACACACTCGTCCTCTTTCATGCCATGCAGCAAGGGAGATGTTTTTGCCATGAACCTGTTTATAAAATCTTTACTCATTAATCAAAATAATTGAAACCAAATGATGTCCTTGAAGATTTAGGAGCACGATAAGTACCGTGCAAGAATTCACCCCCGTTCAGTCCCCCAAATCTCAGAAGGTACAAAATGACCTGAGGGTTTTTTCCTATGCGGACACTTTCATATACATGACGAGAACCAAAACTCAGATGCACACGATGTTGCTGCGGAACAAGAGAATAACATTAACAAGGAAATCAGTCAAAACCTTGGTACTTTTCCTCTTTGTTCTGAATTCCACATTTTGCCTAAGAGAAGGAAGATGGATGGGAGAAGAGATGAGCAATCTGTGCGGCAGATTTAGAAAGCGAGTTCAACCTCCTTTATCAGGTCTCTGAGTCAGTGTCTTAAATCGCAGAGTGATCACGGAAATGCTGTGAGACGCATGCCAATCAGCGCTCCCCGTTTCCTCCAAGATCGCCGGAAAACACGAGGCTTCCTTCTCCTTCCCGTGCCTTTCATCCCCACCCAAGCCTCCCTGAAAGTCAGCCGCCACAGGATGTCACGAGGACACGTCACCACTTTGAAAACCAAGCGAGTCTTCCGAGTAATGTACAGGAAGGTATCACAGGATGCCAATTTCTCAATGAAAACACTACGGAAGGTCCTTGGCTCTTGTTAGGAATTGCCCAAGATGACACAGGGCTTGATTTGGGACGAGCTCTGGCCGAGATGCCAACCACAGGGGGCTCTTGGCCACACGCCCGCTGCTGGACGAGGCCCCTTTCACGGCAAACGCGAGGGCTCCGCTGCAGGGTTGGGCTGCGTTTTTCCCCATTTGGTGTCACAGACCAAGTACGTGTGGTTGGCGAACTGGGGGCCAGTGGGACAAATTAAGTACCAAGAACGTTCTTCTGGGACACACTCTCGGGGACCTGGCCTGCTAGGTCACAAAGCCCTGGGAAGTGGCATGGCCAGAGGGCTGTGTGGGCCTCGCACGAGGGCCCACAGCTCCAACTCTGGCTTCAAGTTGTGCGTGGCTGGAAGGCGTGTAGGGAGGTCACATCACCACCTCTCTGGACCTCAACGTTGCGGTCAGAAGGTTGAAGAACTGAGTCAAGTGGTTCTATGACTTCAGTGCACATCACAATAATTGAGGGAAATATTAATGCAATTTCCTAGGACCAGCTTCCTGAGTGGGGCCTGTCACATCCACATGGGACGTTGAGTGATTGGGAAATAAATCCCATTATGTTAAAGCACTGAGATTTCGTGCTTGTGTTCTGCCTGCTCTAAACATAAATCCATTTAATCAGAAATAATAATGTAATCCATTTTCAAAATTAAAATTAAAAGAAAGCAACCAGTCCAAAGCACAGAGCGCACTAACTGTCGCAGTGTAACAACAGTCTATTGCTGTGTAACAAATCGCCCCAGAACGTCAGTGGCTTTAAACATGACAATTATTTCATGGATCAGGGATTCAGGAAGGGCTGGCTGGGTGGCTCTGGCTCAGGATCTGTCATGGGGTTGCAGTCAGACAATGGCTGAAGCTGAAACTGTAAATGGCACTGGAGCAGCTAGTGGCTGTCTGGTCACCTCTCTTCTTGTAGCCTCGTGTCTCCACGTGGTCTCTGCATTTGGGCTAGTTAGGGCTTCCTCAGAGCACAGTGGCCTCAAGACAAGTGGACTGCTCACAGGCAGGTCCGGACTCCGGGGCAAGTGTCCCAGCCAATAGGTGGACGCTGCTCAGAAGTCACGCAGCACCAGAAGTGCCCACGCAAGACTCCAGGGAAGAGGGTTCAGAACCCACCTCTTGAGGGGGTGGATTTCAAGGGACGAACATGTAGGACAGGAGATAACACTGGAGCCATCTTTGGGAAATACAATATCACTCCGACTGTGACAGAGGAACGGAAATTTTGGGTCTTCTCTTATTTCATCCTCGATGTATAATGATAAAGGGTTAGGTAGAGGGAGTATATTAGTTTGCTAGGGCTACATTAGCCAAGTACCACAAATGAGGTAGCTTAAAATGACAGAAATGTGCTGTCTCACGGTTCTGGAGAATACAAGTCCAAAACCAGGGTGTTGGCAGAGCCGTGCTCCCCCGAGGCCTCTAGGGGAAGTCTTTGCTGCCTCTCCCCAGCTGCCTGTGGTTTGCCATCAGTCTTCGGTGTTCC